TTTGCAAATCAGAAAAAAACGAAGAGGCGAATCCGAGAACCAACAAATTAAATTGGTGTGGCCTTGCTTACCTTTCGATGCTTATCAGACATCTTCCTCAGAGGCTCTGAGGAAGGTCTCTGAAAGACATCGAAAGAAAATCCAAATATCCTATGTTCCACCAACCTGTACCAACCACGAGAGGCACTGCCCAGCCAGACCCGCAGATAACGACTCAAGGTGTAGATTGTCTGCCAAGACAACAAAGGCCCAAGACAAGACAAGACCAACCTGAAGAAATTATTTTCGGAGCTACTTTCTTTGCAATGCCTTCACCTGAATATTCTTTCCTGCCAGCTTCAGCGTAGATGACGGTGAAATAGTCCAGACACTGGGTGGTCGCAGGGTGGTCGTCTCCCAGGGAGGCCTGGTACGCCTTCACCGCCTACAGGAACAACAAAGTAAATCTTATTCAGCAAAACAAATAAACAAACACATAAACAGACAGGCTGTCAGATCTCCAAGCACTACCTGGTATGCCTTCTCCACCTGAAAGAACAACAAATACATAAACAAGCAAACAAACAAACAAACAAACAAACAGCATAGATTCTCCCTGACAATTGTCTGATTTTTAGTATGTATTGGGTCATAAGGAGCAACCGAAGTCATAAAATCTTGTGAGTGCTGAAAATTTTGCTACAAAGTAAATATATAATTAAACTTGACGCAAACCTATCTACGGTACATGTCAAAATAGAGGTTTAACTTGGAGGTTGAACTTAATGCCTCTATTGCTTATTACACTTGAAAACTCCCAGGAAAATTACATCTGCAGAACGTACATGTAAACAGTCATTAAACAGCACATTACACCCATTTATCTGTCGTCAGGCAAAATGGGAGTTTGATTTATATACATGACTGTACATCCTCATCTCTTCATGTTATCAGATGGAGTGTTGAGAATCTGTATAATTATTATATTATCTGCTATACATACACAGATTTGTGTACAAATTTTGCCTTATTGCGGAAAACCACTTTCTTACCAAAACACAGATTCTGTTGCAGGTATCTCAGACGCACTAGGAAATGGACTGGGTTTACATGTAAATGTAGGTGTATGTGGATTTTATTTGCTGCATTCACTATTACTATCACCACAAAGTATGAAACAGATAATGGCGATGGTTTTGGAACAGTTTTTAGTACGATCCATACTTTCTAAAAGTATTCTGAGAGGTGGAGGTAAAATTTGTCTGCTGCAGGTAATTTTCAATTTTATCTGCACCTGTGCAGGTAAGCAGGAGGAAGTATTTTGAAGCCTTGGAAGTACGTCAGTGTTCTCACCAGGCCTTTTGAGCATAGGGGCCCCCTATGCTGTGATTTGGACCCCCTATTCTATGAGTTTGGACCCATATGCTGTCTTTCAACCAGAATAGGGTGTTTTGTGGGGGAGAAACTTCATAAATCTTAAAAAAATGAAAACATAACAGTTACTTTAGAATGATGGTATAGCGAAGGAAAAACCTTCACTTCTCAAAATCCGTCCCTCAATAAGAGAAATAGTGTCTCAGGGGGTTTAAGTTTCAAATTTTCTTGGCTCAATGCGAAAGTTGCCCTTCTGTACCTTACCCCTATGCTGTGAAAAAATCCTGGTGAGAACCCTGTACGTGACAGTGCTCTGGGACACACACAGCAAGTTTCTCGGCTGGGGTCGTGTGGCGTAGCGGCAGAGTGCGCGACTCGGAACTAAGAGTCCCGGGTTCGAGTCCTGACATGCCACCGATCTTGTGCCCTTGGGAAAGGCACTTTACACGACTTTCCTCACTTAGCTCAGGTGTAAATGAGTATTGTCCTGTCATGTATTTGTCCCCTGTGTTGGTGGCAGCATTAATATAAGTTGAAAAAACTTGAGTGTGTCGTCACCACGTCTGGTGATTACATGTTGAAATAATAAAAAAAAAAAAAAGTTTCTCCGAATCCAGACACACGTGATGAATTACCGCTGCGACGGCAGTTCATATGTCCCCGCCCGTGCCCTGAGGAGTGTTAGTTATAAAAGTTACATACACCCTCTCCTTGACTTCACAAGTATGTGTCCCCACGGAATGTAATTTGCTATTTTCCAATCTAGCCCTAACAGCTTCAATTGAATCCCGGCGCTAGTGTTGCTTCCTTGGTCGATCGTCCTCCCGGGCCTCGGCACAGAAATAAATTAGATTTCCTCCCGTTATCTTGTTAGGCAAGTTAGCATTATAATGAAGTGGTTCTTTCGATGCAACGAAACGCGTTACGCGCCACCGACAAACCTTCCCGGTATGATTCAAACAAAATATGATCCGAAATCGATGCCGATATTGACGAAACTTTCGTTTCGCATTGTGGTGAGGTAAAGAACTGGCCACACACCCTCCTCCGCCGGACACCACACTTTCCACCGGTACATAATTTGCCATTTTCCAATCTGCATGGCACAATCATTTTCAATTTGATTCAGGCACTTGTGGTTTGCTCACTGCTAAATCATATTTCCCCACACAAACACCCCAGATATATCAAATTTCCAGAAATTAAAATGAAATGAGGATATCTACTGCCAGTGGCGGAATGAGATTAGCATGAAAATTGTCCATCAGTCTGGATTGTTTGCAGCCAGGCTGACAGACGCAGGAGTAAAGGAAGGTCATCATTCGTCACCGGCTCATTCAAGGCTAATCAACAAGACTTAGTGGAGTTAAAAAAAAATTAATATGTCGGTGGTTATGTTCTTGTTCAAGGTCAGAAATAAGTCCTACGACTTAAGAAGAATTAAGGGAGTTTGGTGACGATTTTCATGGTGTTTTCACTTCTGTTGCTCTGTTCCTAATGTATAAATTTCAGCCTCTGCAAGTGGAGAAAAATTGCTATGTGGGCGGATAAGTTCTTTCTGATGATCAGAAACAAGTCCTCTAACTTAAGAACAATTAAAAAATATAAAGGGAGTTTGGTAATGATTTTCACTGCTTTTCTCTCTGGGATTTGGTTGTTCTAGTAACGTTAAATGTAGACAAGGCTTGTGTTGTATTGTTCCCTCGTATACATTTCAGCATCTACTAAGGTCACAATTCATAGTTTGATAGAAGGCTAAATTAATCAACAAGTGTAGAAAAATGCCGTTCCCGGTATGTTGGTGTTTGAGTTCTTTGGGTTCATGATCCACAAGTTCAGAAAAAAAAACTTATCTCAAAATAGAAGATGGAGTGGAAAATTTTGTAGTCTTCTAACTGGATAGTTTTTCTGACAGTTCTTCACCCCAATAGAAGTACTATTCCTCTCTGGCTTGCCAGTAAGAAAACTTTTCCCACTCTAACACCTGCTTAGATGCAGTTTGGTCATTATTATCTCCAATCCTTTTACATCAGTTGAATAAGCAAACACTTAACCGCCTTTCCTCTCCCAAAATCCAGTGAGTTATAGTATAACAGTGGTGCAAAACATTCTGTCAGTGCTGTCAGACATGGTAAAAAAAGGACAGTACATACAGTACTGTTGTAGAGTGATGCCAGAAGCTGAAAACTCTGCTCTTCCTTCCAACACAACTTTTATGTCGTGTTTTGATGTCCGAAACATGAAATGATTCATCTTGAAAACTATCAATAAAAAAATCTAATTCTGGAGCCTGGGTCCTGGAGGCAGGGGACAAATGTCAGCTGTCGGCGGGCTGTAGGATGTTTTAGTGTTGTAACGGGGACATCAACCTTTATCAGGGCTGGAAATACTGCCTACATGTGCAGGTTAGTGCAGGTAAAATTGGAACTGTGTGGGTATTTCCAATGTCTACCTGCACTGGTTGATACTTTAAATTATAGGTATATTAATGATCTTCATTTGCTGCATTGACTGTTACCACCTATGAAGTATAAAAGACATAATGGCAATGGTTTCTGAACAGTTTTAGCATGATCCATACTTCTTAAATTCGAGTGTTGCAGGTAAAATTTGTTTAGTGCAGGTAATTTTCAATGTTACCTCTTCCAACATTCTGAGTGGTACAGGTAAAATTTGTCTGGCACAGGTAGTTTTCAAAGTCACCTGCACCAATGCAGGTGTGCAGAAAAAAGTATTTTGAGGCCTGTTAACCAATCTAAGGGTGCTGTACAACATCAAAGTTGTCCTGGCTACCTAAGGAAAAATTTAGTGGCCTCCAGGTTAACGTCTATGTTCCCAATTTTTCCACGAGCAATCATTCTTTTAGACCAACAAACGTGAGAAATTTCAGGTGTCAGAAAGATGCGCTCGGACTCTGCAAAAGAGGACCCATAAATTTGTTCATCTTGCTTCCTTTCCCCACTCCTAGTGCTGCTGAGGCTTAGGAAAAAAAATGTTGTGTTTCCTGTTTCACGACAGACCCTAGAAAAAACTGCTAACCCTATATATATAGTCTTTTTTTGGGTGGATCCCACCAAGGGACATAAATTTTTTAAGCTGGTCGACCTTTTCTAGCTCCATGATCTGACACCTGAGTGATAAAACGTTGTCCAATCGGTTTTCCAACATTAACATTGGAAATGTGTCCTCATGCAAGTTACTTTAACTATATTTCAACAAGTTGGATCACTAAAGATTGCTAAAGTCTAATAATTTTTTTTTTTTAAGTTACTTTCTTAAACTGTATTGTATAAGTTGGATCACAAGAGATTGCCAAAGTCTAATAAAAATGTTACCCTACCGCCCCTAAGTTTTTCAGGACTGAAACAGGAAACACAACAGTTTTTTCCCCAGGCCTGACCTAATCCTCGGCATGGTGCACCAGGAGTTATGGTGAGGAGGTGATCCTCGGGGCAACTCTAATCTGGTGAACGGTTGTCACGGCAGTGGAGGTGTTTCAGGTTATAAACCACGTACAGATGGTGCCATTAACTCCCCAGCAGACATCAGGGCTCAAAATACTGGATTTGGAGCTTTGAACCCAATTTTTTTTTGGTTGGTGCACCGGTGCACCTAAATATTTTCATCAGGCAGACATCAGCGCTCAAAAACTGGGTGCATGTGCACCTTAGTGCACCCAAATTTGGAGCTGTGCACCCAGTTTTTTTCGGTTGGTGCACCAGTGCACCTAAATATTTTCGTAGGTTGATGTAAAATGTTAAATGTTTAGTAGTATACAGCATATTCTTTACATCTAAGTGTCAGAAAAATAATAAGACCATTATTATATTAGTAGTCTTTTCTTTGGACATTAAACATTTAGAGATATGCTGGCGTAAGTTTTTGCTGATATTCAGACTACTTATTTTATCTTATATGGTGCACCCAAAAAAATATTTTGTGCACCCAGTTTTTTAGGTTGGGTGCACCAGTGCACCTGTATTCCCAAAAATGAATTTGGAGCCCTGGACACGGAGGGGGGCTGGTCGCTGAGGAAATCAGGCTCCGGAGCGGCGCTGATGTCACGTCGGCCTGATTGCTGCGCATTGTCCACCTTTTTGTGACAAAACCACGACTTGTGAACACTGACATAATCCGAAGGGTGCAGCGTCATTTATCACTAGTTGGGCACAATTGGTCTCCGCTTTAAGTTTTGATTTTGTTACTTTAGCCTTAACAACAAGTTTAAGAAGTGCCAGAAAGAGTTAGCAAACTTGTCTGATATATGGTCTTTATACAGCATTCGTTACCCAACCCAAATTCTGATAAGGCCACACCAATTTAATTTCTTGGTTAACGGATTCGCCTCTTCATTTTTTTCTGATTTGCAAATAAAAATAAAAATTCAGAATCAACTGCAAAATGCTCATATTTTGCCCTGAACAGTTGAAAACAGTCCTTTTCTTATTACTTGTTACAGTCATTCCATCTTTCAATGCAGTGCTACCATTAAAAGTTCAAAATTCATTGTTTAAATTTTGAACCAGCCTGGACTGTGTTGACTTAATGGCTCCTATCATACCATTTTGGGCCATTTTGGATGCATAGGCCTGTTTTTATTTTTATTTTTTTTTCGCCCGCCCGCTCCATTATTTTTCTAGAAAAATCCGTTAACCAAGAAATTAAATTGGTGTGGCCTAAGGGCAAATTTTGATTTTGTTACTTTTCTGTCAGTTCTAGAAGTAGTCAACAAGTTTTAGAAGTGCCAGAAAGAGTTAGCAAACTTGTCTAATATATGGTCTTTATTCAGCATTCGTTACACAACCCAAATTCTGATAAGGGCAAATTTTGATTTTGTTACTTTTCTGTCAGTTCTAGAAGAAGCCAACAAGTTTTAGAAGTGCCAGAAAGAGTTAGCAAACTTGTCTGATATATGGTCTTTATACAGCATTAGTTACCCAACCCAAATTCTGATAAGGGCAAATTTTGATTTTGTTACTTTTCTGTCAGTTCTAGAAGTAGTCAACAAGTTTTAGAAGTGCCAGAAAGAGTTAGCAAACTTGTCTAATATATGGTCTTTATTCAGCATTCGTTACACAACCCAAATTCTGATAAGGGCAAATTTTGATTTTGTTACTTTTCTGTCAGTTCTAGAAGAAGCCAACAAGTTTTAGAAGTGCCAGAAAGAGTTAGCAAACTTGTCTGATATATGGTCTTTATTCAGCATTCGTTACACAACCCAAATTCTGATACAGGCAAATTTTGATTTTGTTACTTTTCTGTCAGTTCTAGAAGTAGTCAACAAGTTTTAGAAGTGCCAGAAAGAGTTAGCAAACTTGTCTGATATATGGTCTTTATGCGGCATTAGTTACACACCCAAGATTTTGATAAGGGCAAGAGTCTTATTCAATATCATCACTAAAAGAATGTCTGCCAAAATTCCTAGTATGGGAAATGAAGATAATCAGGATGCATATTATAATAGTCCATTTAAACAGTACGACTGTTTACAGACTTCTGTTCTACTTGTCTTTACTGCATACAAAGATATTAAACTACTTAACTTTACACTGTTGGCACATCAAACTTATAGATGATACATTTTTGTACTTCGTACAATTGCTGCCCTGTCAAAAATTGACATAACAGTGCACTTTCAGCAATGACCAATCTTCTCACTCTGAAAAAATTTGAAGAACCAATGGTAATACTTGACTCTGTTCTTCTTGTCTTTATGGCATATAAAGATATAAACTATTTAACCTTACACTGTTGGCACATCAAACATGTAGACAACATTAAGTACAATTGCTGCCCTGTCAAAAATTTGACATATCAGTACACTTTCAGCAATGACCAATCTTTCCACTAAAAAAAAAGTGAAAGAACCAATGGTAATACTAGATATAAACTACTTCTTAATAACTTCGCTCAGATGGCATATCAAACTTGTAGAAAACATTAAGTACAATTGCTGCCCTGTCAAAAAAATTGACATATCAGTGCACTTTCAGCAATGACCAATCTTCTCAAAAAGTACGCAATGACCAATCTTCTAAATAAAAGTTGAAGAACCAACGGTAACACTTGACTGGGCCGAACCCGAGATGTCCTAAAGTTGATTGTCAGTCCAACAGGTTGGTGCTGACTGATAACCCTACCTGAGTGGGAGTGCAGTTTTCCTGATCATGCGGACATAACGTCGCAAAGGTGACGAACGAGCTTTTGACATACAACCCGAATGTGCGGTGGGAATGGATTTAATCTTGCGTTTTGTGTGCCAGAAATGACATCAAACCACTTCCCGGTGTCATTAGCCACCCCATGCAGCGCGCCGGTGTCACACAGGAAATCAGACGGGTTTCACGGTGGCCCTGGATGGAATGGGGCTAGTCATTTGTCACTCGGTGTTGTCATTGTCCCACCATATGTGCGCGCAGCGTGGACAAAAGGGCGGCGGTGATCACGGCACATAGTAATCACATTTACACCACGGCCGTAACTGGTCACATGTGGCAGATTTAGAAAAGAATGGCTGATTTTCTGTGGCACTCAGAGGATTCAACAACAGAAGTGGGACAGAAATACATTATCCTGGTGGAAAAGATACTGCGAATGTTTAACTTGGTTTGTTTACTACATCTACTACATCACATACCGATACCTTAACAGTAATGATGATGTGCAGTGATCCAATTTCTTTGAATGTAGAATTAATTGTTTCAGTCAAGGTTTTACTCAAGCAAAATTGTTGAAAGATTTTAGTCAAGGAAATTGAATTTCTTAGACCTCAAACTTTGAGACATTTTCACACTCTTAAGTTGTTTTAGGAAGCAGGTTTGTCCTGAAATGCTTCACATACATGTACAAGTATTTGCTGGAGTTGAAGTAGATTAATATTTTGACAAAATGGATAGTACATGTAAAGGTTAGAACAACTTCTGCTTCTATCATTTACATGTACTATCTGCCGAGTGGCTAAATAATAGTAACAACTGTTTCGGCTGTAAATTAGCAGTAGATAAACTCTATAAACTACAATTTGGCTAAAAGGCAGGAAAAATAGTTCCATTTAGACTGTACAATGTACATTTTCCAAGGATGCACAAACAGTGGGAGTAGAGTTTGAAAGAACCTTTATAACATGTTTCCTTAAAACTGTTTGTACAGTTAAGCAGTAATGAAGAGACAGAGTGCTGCAGGGATACAGTTGGGGGATATCATCAAAACACTTGCCAGGGTTGCCTGCCAGGTAGGCAATGTTGATGAGTATGTTCACCCTTCTTTGGAAGCTAGCTAGCTCCCTTATTTTGTGATGAGGCATCACACTGCCAGCTGACTTGAGTAAGTGTACCCCTGTGTGTTACAGGGTGAGTTTAATCTTTTTGATATAGAAATAATCTGCTCAGGTGCAGCGAAAAACAACTAATAACAATTTATTTCCCACATCGAGTCATTAGCTGAACACGGGTGACACAACAGTCACCTAGGAAATCAGACACTGTGATTCTGGTTTTACTTGTGTCAATGAAGCGGGGTGGTGTCACTGGGAGGTAAAAACTAATCAAACTTCCGATAAACAATTTGGCAAATGTTGCTCTAACGACCTCAGTGAGCAAAGGACAAGTTCTGCCTGATGACATACATGTAGTAGTAGTCCTACGGTTGTTGTTACAGCTATTGCACGGGGCTTTTTAAATCAGTACATTGATGGATGTTAAATGCTTTTGAGAACTAGCTCAAATATAGTGATAGTGACAACTTCAAGCTGGTGGTTTGAGACCTGATAATGTTATTTTGTAATCAAGTTCATGAGATAAGGCCACACCAAGTAAATTTTATGGATGACGTCCTTTGGAGACCCTAAATCTAATGCGAGAGGGCGAAAAAAAACAAGAAGGGCCCTAAAAAACAAGATGCCTACATAAGAAATATTGCACTGCTGACAGGACCGTCCTGTCTGTTAATAGTTCCAAAAACAGCACTGTTTTGGAGCTATTGACAGGATGTTTTTCAGTGCCATTTTTTTTTTTCATTTTTGTTTCCATTTTTTAACCAGGCACAGGCTTTCGGCGTTACGGGTTTCACATCAATCTGACAATTTGCGGCACTGTTGTGACTCTTTGGTCATAGTTACAGGAAGCGGAATTTCTTGTTTTTTTCTTCTAGGAACAGGCCAAAATCAATGCGCGTGCGGACGTCATCCATAAAATTTACTTGGTGTGGCCTAAAGAAGTAAAAAAAAAAACATCTTGTTCATGTGTGACACTGCAAACATTAATGTGTAGGAATTGTTTTCTTTACTCTATATTTTCATGACTGACAACAAACTGGACTTCCTCTAATATATTATGTGTAACATTAGCAAGAATCCAGTATAACTATTAAGTAGAGTGGATTCACTCCTCAAGCTATGTTACCGACTTTTATTCACCTTGTCACAGGCTGAACAAACATTCTAAACATTCTATGTGGCTACTGAGGGACGACTGCGTAGTGAGAGATATTGGTTTGCTTCAGGAATGAATCCACAATTATTTCTTTATATTACTAGGCCACATCAAGTAATTTTTATGGATGACGTCCGCATGTGCATTGATTTTGGCCTGTTTCCAGAAAAATGACAAGAAAACAGTGTGATAAAGGAAGATGTGATGAAAGGAAAGAAAAGGGCCAGGACGACAACTGCTGTTCCACTAATTTATTGCTGCTTTCATGATGAATAAAAGACTTGTTGGTTGTTACACTGTGTTCTCTCATTCAATATGTGTCCTAACATTTCTCATCCTTTAGTATATTCCAAATCTAGGCCTCTTGCTATTTTCGGGCCTTCATGTTTTTTTTTTTGCTCTCGCATTACATTTAGGGTCTCCAGAGGACGTCATCCATAAAAATTACTTGGTGTGACCTTATTAAGAATCTAGGAAATAGGATACCCACCTTGCCACAGTACTCCAGTGCCAACTGAGGCCTGAAACAAAAAAATGGAAATCAAATTGACCATCAAAGCTGATTAAATCATCATGGTTAAATCATCTAAACAAACACTTCAAAGTGCTGCATCTGTTGACAGGAGCGGAGGGGTGTTAAATAATCAAGTAGCAACTGACATTATCAAAATGTGTGTGACCTACTGTGTTTTAAGACACAAAGTTAGATTATTTTTCTACTCCTTTTATTTCATTCCTCACAAGGATAGTGATAGTCAGCAATTTGAAATCTAAGGACAAACTTACATAATACATTATACTGTTGAGTGACAAACTAGCATTCTTAAATGCCAGGTTGGTGAAGAGTGTCTCTTGAAAGCTCCCAAGAATAGTTACTTTTTCCGTGTGTGTATGGTTTAATATGGCATTCTGTCGTATGTACTTCGTGGTAGCAAAATGTATAAGGCTATTTCAAGAAATTCCTCCAATGATTGTAAAAGTTCTTACTCATCCCACACTAGTCACCCACTCTCGTATTAGTTAGGTCAGCCTTATGAAAGTGTATGTACTAATATGTAATAGTAGATGCCATACCTTGTATTCTGTACAATTGTTGTGCAATTAAGCTATCATTTTAGTAGGAAAAGTGTCCTTATCATTATGTCAACTTATATTAATTATTTCTCCAAGCAGAGGTATTGGTAGGGGGTTATAGAGGATATAGAGTGGCTGATTAAAGGGATAGCCAGGATTTTTAGCGCTGCTATCCCATTTTCATGAGGCGAATGTTGGATAGTGACAGCCAATGGATACAGGCCCCATGCCCCACCCAATCTGCTTGGAGATTAATGTCAACTCACTTCTTCCGCTCGACACACATCCTGGCCAAGTTCTCAAACTCCATAGCCCTGAGCACTCTAGGATCAGGCGGGCCGATGTCACCCTGTCCTCTTGTCATTGGTTTACCTGGGGTGGGGTGGGGTGTGGCAAACAAGTTCATTTCTATCAATGGATTCAACATTTAAGTACATACATAAGTACATACATAAGTACAGCTTCAAGAAAGCTATTGTCCAAACAGTGTCACCTAAACCCTCGACCTCTACTTTTTAAATTGTTACTGTTGATGTCTGTGTTTATTGTTGATTTTGTGATATTAGTAAGTCTTTTAAGTTAGAGTAGTTTTACTGTACTTTTTCTGTGCTGTGTAATTATGTCATTTTAAGTGTGTTTGAGCCTTGGAAGACTAGCCCAGCATGGCTACAATATTTTGTAATAAATGTTATTAATAAGTGTTATTAAAATGTTATAACCCAGGCTATTGTTCATGTTAGCACATTAAAAAGAAATGCTTATTAAACACTAGTGGAAAGAAATTTGACCGGAAAAGCACATTCTCATCCATACTACATACTAAGGTAGATTTGTAAGGTAGATTTGTCTCATAGTATGATTGTTTTATAGCAAAAGATGCCATACTATGTACCAATTGTGAAATAAGTATATATATTAATGTTTAAATTTTAAAGTGGTAAAACTTCAGGTGTGCAGTGCCAGGCTAAGCTATGAGTTCGAGGCTTGTAGTATGACAATACACACGTGAATAATTTCATCAGGTTGGCAAGAGACATAAAGGATAGCGGAAGGTAAAGAATGCCCCCTGCCAAATCAAGCGGTTACTGCAACCTTCCCTACCATTTTGTTGCTGAGAAGAGAACTGCACCAGACAGCACCACACGGCAGAGAGAACAGAACTTGAGACTTTGAGGTTGAAAAAGGTGACAGTAAAAGGATGACGTCTTGGGGAAAAGAAAGAAAAATGATGGACAGAAAAGAAGTATATGAAGGCACATTTATCATCATATTCAGCAATGACAGCATTTCAAACCACTGTTACGCACTGTTAAGTGCTTTGAACTTGTAAGCAAGCAATAAAGGGGTTTGTTCACGATTTTATTTTTCCTTCAAGAGCATAAAGAAACATTTTAGACTCTCTCAAATGATTGGAATTTGTCAGGCTGCATCATTAAGATCTTTCACATCTAGATCTATTATCTGAATAATAACATAAACAAAGGAGGTTTAAAAAGAGACATTCCCTTTTCTAAATCATAAAATTTAGTGACCTCTGACATCCTGTCCAATTTAATGACTTTATTATTTTTACATTGGAATGTTGTGATGACTTGATTTATGGACATGCCTTTGTTTTGATGCATTGGATTTTATTTGACTGTTGTCCACCTTTTGTTTGACTAAATGTAATCATGTCTTGTCCTGTGCAAATGTCATGTATGCTGGGCCCCACTGGAAAGCAGCTTCTACTAGCTGACTGGGCTTAACCCAGCCATTTTAATTTTTATGATGAAATAAATAAATAAATCTCCTTGCATAAATGCTTTGAACGGCTTGAGTACAGTGTGCCACATACTGAGAGCTTTCTGCAGCTCGCTGGTGTCGATGAGGGCATTCTCATAGTACATCTTCTCTGCCTGGATAAACTGCACTGCCTTGTCGTCTGCACATCGGGTCAAGGAGGTCATCTTTGGGTGAATTTCTTTCGATAATTCAGTCATTCTATCACCTAGATTGGACGACACCTCTTAGACCTCATGGAAAAGTGTTGTTTCCCGTTTCCTGATCGACCCTAGCAAAAACCTGCTGATCCTAGCCTTTTTTGTGTGGATTATTGACAAGGACATACAATTTGCTTATCAGGCATCTGAATTTCAACCTCCCTGAAACATTATTTAGCAAAATCAGAAACACAGCATTTTTTTCCTAGGCCTTTAGCACTGACTTAAGAGGTTTCTTAAAATGAAAGATAATGAATTTCCATCTTTTGCACACTGTGAGGAGCATAATTAGAGCCAATCCAACCTTGTACAGTTCCCAAGACAAGCTACTGTGAGTTCTGGATCCATGTTAAATGGAAGCATTAGGCCACACCAATTCAATTTCTTGGTTAACGGATTTGCCGCTTCATTTTTTTCTGATTTGCAAATAAAAATAAAAATCCAGAATCAACTGCAAAATGCTCATATTTTGTCCTGAACAGTTGAAAACAGTCCTTTTCATCCTAGTTGTTACAGTTATTCCATCTTTCAATGCAATGGTATCATTAAAAGTTCAAAATTCATTGTTTAAATTTTGAACCAGCCTGGTGTGTTGACTTCATGGCTCCTATCGTACCATTTTGGGCCATATGACGATGCCTAGGCCTGTTTTTATTTTTTTATTTTTTTTTCGCCCGCCCGCTCCATTATTTTTCTAGAAAAATCCGTTAACCAAGAAATTAAATTGGTGTGGCCTTATCTCACAGTTAAAGGATACATTCTTCCTTCCTGTAGAAGGTGTCAGCTATCTGAAATCATATCAGAAAAGCAACAAATGAAACAAGCACCTCATCATTTACACATATCTACATTACATTAGTACCTATACTCAGTAGGAGTCTTAACCAAATAAGGTAAAGAAACCACACCCAAGGAGATCAAGTTCAAAGATGATAATTCGCAAAAACCCTCGAGCTGCCCTGGGTGTGATGTAATATCTCCCAGTGCAGTGTCACAACCCACACACAGGACAGAAATACTTGAAGGAAGCAAAACATTGAATAGGAAAAAATCTTGGAGAATGCTCATCTGTGTTGATAGAATCCATAATTATAGAGTTTAAGCTCACACAAGAAAGGAAAAAGATCTGGTCTTGAACAAATGGAATGCACCATTGCATATTGTGTATACCATAGTCCCATGTTTTGTCAAAACTTACAGAAATTAAGCCATTTCTGTCCCATTCCAACATACCTGGTGGAGACTAGGCTGTACTGCAAACATCCAACCCCTTGCTTCTATGTTTCAGTGCTCTTTCTTTCTGCATCTGAGTTTTTGATTTGTATAATAAGCTAAGCAAATCACAAATGTAAGGCAGTTTCCATCAAGACTGCAAAATTGAAACTTTATTTTGCTGCTTAAACATTTGGAAATTTGCTTGCATGTATGCCTCAAATGAAAGCCACCATTGCAAGATTACGACATTGCCCCCTGACCCCTGCAATACTGACCTCTACCCCTTGCAACAGTGCCCCCTGACCCCTGCAATACTGACCTCTAGTCCTTACAAGTTTGCCCTCTGACCCCTGCAATACTGACCTTTTGCCCTTACAACATTGCCCTCTGACCCCTGCAATACTGACCTCTAGTCCTTGCAACATTGCCCTCTGACCCCTGCAATACTGACCTCTAGTCCTTACAACTTTGCCCTCTGACCCCTGCAATACTGCCCTTTGTCTCTGACCCACACACCTGATGTAAACAGTGAGGCAGCTTGCTGAATCCTTCTGTCTGGTCCAGGTCCTTCAGACAGCCGAGGTAGCACTTCAGGGCGTACTCCAGCCGCCCGCGGTTCTGGTACTGCAAGCCTTTCTCAAACAGGGCATCGCGCCGCGGGCCGTCCAGCGGCTGTTCCACGGAGAGCTCAGGGAACGATTCTTCTGCAAAATTTATTTATTTAATTAGTTCAGCTTAATTAGTACAGCCAGGGTTGCCCAACTAGTCGTAGACTATTATCAAGGGTCAACCCTGAGAGAAAATAGAATCATATTAATATATAGGTATACATACAAATACAATCAATAAGATACACAGTTGAAATTTACAATAATATATACATGCATTGGATCATACAATTATATAAGTTATCAGAATTACAACTGCAAAATGTGAAATACTCTTGTATCAATTGCAGTATTATTATAAGCCATAATGTAATTCAATCATACATGTAGAGTTAGGCCTAGACATTGGCAGTGAAAAAACAATTATACATGATAAGATGAGAATGTTCTCTTTGCTTAAGCAATATCAATACCAAACGAAATGTAGCACATGCTTACATTACAAGGCTGACAGATTACATGTTTCCATGTTGATAACATTAATCCAAATTTGATTGCTAAGATGTAAGACTAAACGGGGTTCGAAATTTATTTTGGGAATAGGTGCACTGGTGCACTCAAAAATGGGTGCACAAAAATTTTTTTGGGTGTACCATAGAAGATAAAATAAGTCGAATGTCAGCAAAAACTGATGTTTCATGTCTAAAGGAAAGTATTACTAGTATTACAATTATGGTTTTGTAGTTTTTATACTATATACTACTATACATTTGATATCTTTACCTAAACCTGTATACAAAAAGATTTGGGTGCAGTCAGCTACAAATTTGTATATGCACAGCATATGCACCAAGTATTTTGAGCTCTAACTTTAGCTGACGCTGACTAACCTTCACTAGATGACTCCTCCATGTTCACCTCCTCCACCCAGTCCTGCTCTTCTTCCCCCTTCTCTTCCTGTGACTCCTCCTCCCCAGCCGCCATCAGCTCCTGCCCCTCCCCACTCTCCTGTATCTGCCTGTGTCTCGCCGCCACCTCTGCCTCCAGGTTCTTCACCGCATTGCCCACCAACGTCTCCACAAAGTTCCGCACATCCTCCACTCTCGGCAGCGTCTCATCTTTCCTCGTGTCTGATTTGTTGTCATCGACATGATCCTCTTTGTCGTCACCACTGTCATCATCATCATCATCGCCATAATGATTGTATTTCCTCTTCCTTGTTTCCGCTCTGCTTGATTCTTGGTCCCCCTCTCCAACTGGACCACATACAACAGCACAGAATAAGAACTTACACAGATACTAAATTTAATAAAGTCTATCTAAATGCAGGTTGAACTACAGTACATACTTGCCAACACAAAAAATAGGTCTTACACAAAGGTTTTGATTTTTGGTCTGCCTCTGGTTGCTCATCTTCGCCATTGTCATCATCATCATCATCATCATCATCTTCCTCGAAGTCATCCTCATAGGTGTCATCCAGCATCAGGACCACCTCCTCCTCCCCTTCCCCTGCCTCCACCTGAAAGAAACTCATGTCTGATCATGACGAAAACTTCAACACAACTGTGTTTGTAAACTCTCACGAGATCATGTTCAGAAGTGATTGGCCATTAATTATCCTGATGAAGGCGACAGTGGTCGCTGAAAATCTGATCCCTGTATAATTGTGTGTTGGAATAAAGTTCAACGTTTTACTATGATTACTACCAACACAGATGAACTTTCATGTTAAACACAACTGATTTTATTCAACTTCCAACCAACCGGTTCTAGAGCCCCTTCCCTCAAACAGCTATAGATCACCTGTTTGAGCATGACGCAGGCACGTGTTCGAACAGGTGGCCGGCCCCCCTCGAGGGAGGGACTAGAACCGGCAAGAATACAACACTATCAACATTCATTGTTACATTACAACACTATCAATATACATTGTTACACACCGATATCTCCTCAGCCCTCTGCTCCCCCGGAAACTCCTCTTCTTCCTCCACCTCAATTTCCTCCTCTATTTCCTCCTCTTCTATGTCTTTTCCTCCCTCCGTTGTGTCGTCTTCGGCTGCTGGCTGCTTGTCCTCGATCCTGCTTCCCAGTTCCTGCACTTTGTTGCCTCCCTGAAGCTCGGAAAATGTCTCCCAGTCCGCCATCTTGGATTCAGTTCTTCACGTTCAACTTGACAAGGTCAAACGTTGAGCTGTCCTTCGGTTGCAGGTAATTCTCATTACTCAGTAGCTACATACCTGGAGCTCTTGAGTCGTGGTGGAGATTCCTTGGCTCTGTAAAGTAGAGGTTACCTGTAGCAGCACAAAATCATAGTTAGTAAACATGCTGAAAAATACAGTGTTCTTTCTACCTTCCTAGTGTGGCAGTCCAATGTCGAGTCCAAAGGTTTAAAGGACAAATCCAATACTTTCAGTTTTGGGGCCTTTCCACCCAAAATCCTATTTGTAAATGGTGATTTATTGGTTTCTGCCAACCCCGCACATATTTGCGGTTATATCTGACCCGCTCGATGTTCCCCGGCTAGAGCCCGATTGTCCGCTAGGCGGCGCAGCGACTGTAGATTTGACGTCACCGTTTCCATTCTGCTACTAGCGAAAACAATCATGGCGGGCGCATCTGGACTGCATCGGCTGTGAAACCCTTCCGTTTTGAGCCACAGACAGACAGTAGTGGTGACTCTGACCCCGATCCAGGCGATGAGAACGTTTGGGATGGAGGTGACGTGGAGATAGAGCGTTGGAGGTTGGGGAACCGGGACTGGTGCCGCTGTGGAAACTGCCTGGAATTGCCCTCTGTACGGGAGTGTTTGTTGCCACGACCTGCCAGACACTGTTCAAAAAGAACGTCGGTCCAGACCACCCATGCATTAGAACCACCCTGACTTCGATGTGATTCTCCACCCGGCAAACCTCCGAACTTTGCTGATTTTTCGTTGGGATCTGATCTGGCAGGGCGTGCAGGAGCCGGTCTCTAACAGGTCGGTACCGCGGTTTGTTTACGTTGCAATTCACTCAACCCTTTGACAAATTTATTTACATCGATCGTCCAACCTCCAACGCTCTGTCTCCACGTCACCTCCTTCCCAAACGTTCTCATCGCCTGGATCGGGGTCAGAGTCACCACTACTGTCTGTCTGTGGCTCAAAACGGAAGGGTTTCACAGCCGATGCAGTCCAGATGCGCCCGCCATGATTGTTTTCGCTAGTAGCAGAATGGAAACGGTGACGTCAAATCTACAGTCGCTGCGCCGCCTAGCGGACAATCGGGCTCTAGCCGGGGAACATCGAGCGGGTCAGATATAACCGCAAATATGTGCGGGGTTGGCAGAAACCAATAAATCACCATTTACAAATAGGATTTTGGGTGGAAAGGCCCCAAAACTGAAAGTATTAGATTTGTCCTTTAAGTTGCATGTTCATACTACAGTATTCATTCTTAAACCAAGTACAAACATCAGGAAATATGGCTGAATCAGTATTCAATGAATGTAGAATGCTGCAAACTGCCAGTTTTGCTGACAAGATCCAACCAACAGCACTTCTTACTTGCATGGCACAGGCAGAGTTTAAGCAGCAAAGAGTACTGACCGATATACAATGTATATACACAGCAAAAATCAATCACTGAAGTATTAAATAAAGAAAACAAGACCTGCACACAATGATTCACCCCGTGTCACCACGCACAATAACCGTGTTCTTACTAAACACATTCCCTAAGAACACTGCTGCGTCCTTATATGTACAAAGTCCCACATCTGTGCCTCTTGTCTTTGCATTTCTAGTCCAGCCAGGGTTGACACAAGGCTGCTAATGTTAACATAGCTTGGGCATAGTCAGGGGATGAAGTCAGTACTATACCTACCACAGCCTGCCTCAGGGAACTATGGATTGTTCTAGAAAGTCAAGGATATGAAGACCTTTGGAGTTGCTGATGCTCTGTTTGTTTGGTTGGGCATTAATTCCAATTGCTGTATGTGTTATCATGGCTTGCAATAACATAATTGACTGCAAATTAAAATTTGTATCATATTCACAATGGTAATTGGAAGGAAGGTGACTACCTGTTAGCATTGTTCACATGCATACTTAGCATGCAGGAATATTAGTGACAGCTGGCATAGACTACATTATGCTACGTAATTAGTATAATGAGAATAATGTCACAGTGAACAAAAATGTGGTATGAAATATTGATATGGGAAGAAACCAAGGAGGATTATAGGGGTGTAGCCTGGGTTGCAATACCAAAAAGCAAGTGTCAGAAATGACCAACATACAAACTAAGGACAAATAACAGGGAGACTTAACAATCTGTTTATGACTTAATTGATGCAAAGCCTATTGAATTTTTCATGGCAGTAATGCAAGCTTTCATTTCCTGTTATTTCTCATAGAACCTTTTTGTATCTCTCTCAAATGTTACAGCTACAAAATTTTTCTTTAACTTTTTTTTTATGACTGTACTTATTCAGACTCTTTAATAATTTCACCTGACGTGCATGCCTATCGAGAATATTGTTGATCCCATAGCATCGAGTCCCTGTCATATCTGGCTAAATGGAAAGATGTGCCCCACCCTGTTCTAGTGTAACAACAGACCATTGTGTGTGCTTCCATACTTGTTTATTACCATGAAGCTGGGATGAGTACTGTACAGATTAGCGAGATAAGGAATGATTAATTATCTTGGGACACACTGGCACTTTTCCTTTGTTCCCTAAGAAATGAAATGATGAAAAATTTTGGGACTTGGTCACTTGGGAATTGATGTACAGATATGTATAATGTTTGGTAAGTGTACCGGTACGATGTGTGTAATAAAGCACAGGCATTTCCCCTGGAATTTAGACAACTGTTCCACTATTTACCCTTCCTCCTCCACTTCCTAGACGTAAATACCAAGACACCTGTTGAACGACTGTGGAAAAAAGAGTGCTGTCTAAGACAAGGCTATACGGTAAGGCCATGTTGATTTGATTATATAGATGACATCCGCGCGCGCATGAATTTTCGGCCGTTTCCAAAAAAAAAAAAAGAAGTTTTCAACCATACTGTAAATTGTACAAAACAGTTGCAAAAAAATGAGCAAAAATATACCATAAGTTACAAAAAAATTAATAAAAACTATACCAATGTCGTAGAATGCCAAAATCAAACGAAAAAAGACGAAATTGTAAAGAAATGAATTTGAAGACTAGATAATTCGCTAAACCATATTCTGTGCCATTTGCTCAACCCTCATGACCACGTAGATTTCATAATGAAAAGAACTTTTTTTTTGCAAAACTTTTTTTTTTATTCGCATGCGCGCATCAGTTTTGGGGCTCCCGGAGGATGTCATCCATATAATCAAATCAACATGGCATAAGATGAAAAACACAGACAAGAATTCTTGGCATCTGGTTCTACACCTGTATCTCACACCTGTGGTAATTTTAACCTCTGCAGAATGTAGTGAGAATGTCACTGTTCAGGTCTGGTCCTCAGTCAAACATACCAACAAACTAGCCTCCTGTGCAGGCCCCGCGGCGGTGGGGAAGAGTTTTTAACGCATTATTTTAATATAGCCGGCCATCCTACATAGCCGCCGAGAGAAGG